ATAATTCAGAATGATTTAAGATGGAAGAAAAAAAATGTTGGCATTCTCAAGGAGAAATATGCCATATTTTTGGCATTTTCCGAAAAAAATGGAAGTTTGTAGGAAATATGACATTTTTTTTAATGGTCGGAGGTGGTGGTGCAGGGAGGCGGTACCACCGCCTCCTGTCACCGGGGTAAAAAAATGCCAAAAAAAATTATGAATGCCATATTTTTGGCAAAAGTCAAAAGGATTCAAGTTGGCAGAATGAAAATGTTGGCATTCTCATAGAGAAATATGTCATTTTTGTGGAATTTAAAAAAAAGTGGCATTTTTTACACCGATCGGAGGTGGTGGTTCAGGGAGGTAGTACAGGCGGTGGGAAAGGTATCCATATTTTTTTTTTTAATGGAGTTTTACTATTTTTTATTAATTTTCAAAAAAAAATAAAAAAATTAAAAAAATATTTTTTTTCTTATTTTTTATTTTATAAAAATTTTATTAATTTTTTTATTATTTTTCTACGAATTATTGAATTTTTTTCAAATTTATTATGAATTAAACATCTAATTATGACTTTTAACTATCTTTTACTAATATTTAAAGGAGGAGTAAGAATGGAAGGAAGAAATGAGTATGTTTCCAATAGGACCACTATGGTCCTATTTTGGAATAAAAAACATAGCAAGTCCTATTTTGAGTTTTTGCCATAGTTTTAGTCCTATTTGAAGTAATTTCTAATAAAATTATACACAAAATGTAGTGGATTGATACGATTATAGGAACAATAGTGCATTAAGTTTGAACGGACAAATAAGAGAAAAACTAACATTCAAACCATTCGAGTGTGTCCTTCCAAAATCCCCATAATAACCTTTTTTGCTTCGATTGTTTAAATTAAGTGATACGGAGAAATAGTAATAAGACAAGACAACTCTTGTTGTAATTAAATGTATGAATATGATCGATGGATGAAAGAAAAGGTTGAAATGCTCTGCCGCCGGTGGCGGACTGCTGCTGCTGCTGCTGAATATATAATGATGATTTTTGGTTCATTATTCATATTTCTTGGTAGGCATAATTAGCTGGATTTGCTTGGAGAGCTTTGCATTAATTGATTGATAATTAATTGATTAATGTGGAGCAGCATCCACTTTAATGACATTTATGGTGACATGAAATTGGAGTCAGCTTGGTTCTCAACTTCCGCAACATCTAAACCCGGCTTCCATTTTTATTCATTGCTCATCCATTATCACTCATCTCCCTAACTCAACCCCAAGCTTAACTAAGTTTTCTTTAACTTGCAAAAAAAAAAAGTTTTCTTGAAACCAAAACCTTAATATTCGACAGTTCATTTGCTAACACTAAAATGAAATATCTAAATCGCCTGAAATTGATGTAATTATGATATGAACGGCTGAATTATGAAAAATCTAGCTTAAAATGAATTTTATTAATAAAATAAAATAAATTTATGAAAAATAGATAAAATGATCATTAATAATTAATAAGTTCAATTAATTCATCCCGATAAAACTTCAAACTTACTGTTAGCACCGTTTGGGCTTTAGCTTACTCGTGTATTAGTGTAAAGTTGGGCCAATGGCTTTGTTTGTATTATTCCTTGTATAAATACTCCTGTATTAGTTAATACACATCAATGAAAATAATTTCCCAAAATATATTACTCGTTCCAGCACATACTTATTTTTATAATTATACAATTTTAGCATAACATATTATTTAACTAAGGTTCCCAACTAAGGGAGAGTTACAGTAAAAAAAAAATAGAGAAGAATTACGTTTCTATATCATTGTTTCAATTTTAAAAAAGTGATGTCTTTGAAGAGAAAGTGTCTCAAATATGAATACATGTTTTTTAAATTGCTTTTGTTTATTTTCAATTTCATTTTTCGAAACCACAAACTAAGTATATGGGTCGAGGAATTGAAACCCAATAAAATCAAAGGTGGAAAGAACGACAAAAATGACCTACCACTGCTAAAAAAAATTACTCCGTAACATGTTTGCAAAACGCAAAATAAAATAGGCGTAGTTAGAGACCTTTGAAATAAGAAAAAAGGGAAAAGTACCTGTTTTCAAATAGGGGCAAGAGTTTCATTTTCTAACAAAGTGAGACATGTATTTTAATTCTGTAATCACAACTGGGGCATAACGTCTAATGCCGTTAGGAAAATTAATTCCGATTTTCAAAAGTCTCCGAATGATTCAAAGAAAAATATGTTGGAAAAATGTGTGAAAAATTGCATTACATAGTAATTTTGGGGAAATTTTTGAGTGGGGTCCACTTCCTATTTGGGTCGGGTCAAAGTGGTTTCGGATTGTTCTTGTTAAGAGCTACAATTCGATATATGGTATGCACAAAACGGATAACGGATGAATGAGAAATTGTTTCTCGAAGTTTACCCGTTAGAATGGAAAAACTCGGAAAAAAGGATGGGTTTCTAGTGTGTTATTTCCCACACCAGAAAACCCAAGGGATTTGCAACCCTTTATAAAGGGATTCCCTCCTTAAGGAGTTAAGATTCCTAAGGGTAAAGGCTCTCTCCACGCGCGCAGGGGGTGCAAATCAAATCCCGAAATCGGAGAAGAAAAACTGCGACTTGCGTGCGCGGGCGACCTGCGAACGTGAATCTCGTCCAAAAATCTATCTCTCAAGAGATACGATTAATTTTTGTTTTCTTCCCGAAACGTTTATTTTTTCCCAGAACTGTTGCCTGGACAGAACACCTCTTCCACGCAACAGAACTACTCGACACGGGGACAGAAGGCCTGGGGTCTTCTGCTACGGAGCTCAGACATAAGGCCTTGAGGTCCTCTGTTGCGGACAGAAGGCCTAGGGGTCCTCTGTTGCGAAGCTCGGACAGAACACCTCGGGGTGTTCTGTTCTGCCCGTTACAGCAATAAATGCTCAACATTCTTATCTTTTAATGCAGCGTTAAATGGACAGTTCATGGACGATTCAATGCCCAACGGACTGGTCATTGATGTCTTACGTTCAGGTCCATTAATTCACCATCTGCACACAACAAATCCTCCTATATAATGGCTGGCAGATGGTTTACAACAACACACGATTTTACACGTTCTTACATACACGAGCTCACATATTTCTTCAGCTAAAAATACCTCCAGTCCTCTGAAAAAATCCAGAATGTTCAGACTGCGTTCTCGTTCGCTAGAACTCTTGTTTGTGTGCTCAAACATTAGTTCGAAGTCATCGTATCCTGGGAAACCATTGTTGCAACGCTCCTAGCAACGTGAGAGGCAACAAATGCGTTTTAAGGACATCGTGCGTAGCACGAGCTTTGACTAATTTCTGCTCCATCTTATTTCTGTTTTCTTTCGTCATTTTAATTAATTTTCTTTATTTTCCGAAACACACCCAACAAAATACTATGAGGTGCTCTTAGTCAAAGGACCTCCGGACCGTATTTCTTTTTTTGTTTCCAATCATCCTACCGCCAGAAAGTCTACAGGAAAAGTGATACTAACGAATGCGTTTTTGGTAGATAATCCAAATAGAACTAAAAAATCCAAAGAGAACGATAGCTTGTTGGTCTCTTTGACGAGGAACACCTCCCACTATTTTTTTTTTAATATTTCGGAGAATTTTGAAAATCAGAGTTAATTTTTCTAACGGGGTTAGACTTCATGCCCTGTTGTGATAACGGAATTGAAACACATGTCCCACTTTGTTAAAAAATGAAACTTGTGCCCCTGTCTGAAAACAGTTCAAACCACATATATTTTTTTGTACTTCTCCTAAGAAACAAATTACATAATCCAAAAATCAAGCTTAATAAGTGACACTTTCTCAATAAGAGATTACCTTATTTTAAAAAACAACTATTTCATCTGTTCCACTATAATTGTCTCATTTTTTCCATCCTTCCAGCTAAATTTGTCTCATGTCATATTTGATAATATATGTGTAGATTCTATTTCATTCATACTTCAGTTTCACTTTATCAATTTATTATCAACCACATAACTCTACTTCTTTTAAAAACGAGGTAAAGGTCAGATTGGTACTCGAAGTTGTATAAAAAGGGTCAAATAAGTCCTTACTTCCCGGCCATCGCCATTTGGGGCGGTTCTCGGTGGAATTTTTTGATAATTTTTTTTAGCATCTTATTTATTAAGTCTGGTTTAGTCATACCAAATTTCAGCTAAAACTTCAATCGGGAAGGCATTCAAATGAATTCTTGAAGATAACTGCGCTTTTAATCCGCAGTTATCTTCAAGAATTCATTTGAATGCCTTCCCGATTTAAGCTTTAACTGAAATTTGGTATGAGTAAACTAGACTTAATGAATAAGATGCTCAAAACAATTCGTCAAACAATTCAATCGGGAACCACCCCAAATGACGACGGCCGGACAGAGCCTCCTATATAAGGACTTATTTGACCCCTTTTATGCAACTTCGAGTACCAATTTGACTCTTACCTCTTTTAAAAACTACACCACTCTCTTTTGTCCCAATAATGGGGGGACGAAGATAATACATGACACTAGACCAGTAGTGATACTTTGACGTCTCAATTTATAATCATACTCCGTACTAAATTGCATTCACAATAGTTTCTTGAATTTGATGCATTTGTTGTTGTTGAAGCATATCAAATTGGATGGTTTCATTTTCACGAACACAACTAAAGAAATGGATAAGTACTTTATACGGAGCAGTTTTTAAGTAAAAAAGTACGGAATACTTCATTCGGAGTACTCCTTCTGTCCCTAAATGTTGTTCCAACTTTCCTTTTTGGGTTGTCCCAAAAAGAAGTTCCACTTTCTATATTAAGAAACTTTTTGAATTGAAATTACCTCATTACCCTCCTAAGTAATTTTCATCCACCCCCATTTATTACCCCACCTAACCCGTTCTCGCACTTTCTCTCTTTATTGTCATCATTCCTTCCATCCGTATTCATCTCTTTTCTCGCACCCTCTCTCTCCGTTCTTTCATTACTCCTCTGCTCCATCGGGAAAACTCTCTCCATCTCTCTGGATCCATCTGCAATAATCCCACACACCCACATAAAGCTTCAAAAACTATAATGGCCGAAAGTTCGTCTGATCTGTGCATGCACGGTGATTTGAATGGTGTGGTGGTTGAGGACTCAGAGGATTCTTCCGGGTGGGCCGATTCCGTACGTGAGACTGACATCCTTGCCGATTTGGTCCCGGTTTCTGAGGGCGTAGAAAAAATGAAAAGACCAAAACGGTTGAGAACTAACCGAAGAGGTGAATCCTCCAATGAAAGTTGGATTGACATCTACCTTCGGCCAGTGGATACAACAAATGTGGGGTATGTTCCACTTGCGACTGCTCATGCTGACCCGGACCCTAAAGTTCAAGAAAGATTGGAGAATCTGGCTTCAATGTGGCTGCCTCTTTACAAAAAATCAAGGTGATAAGTTCCACTTGTTGCATGCATGTATCACTGTGAGTATTTGTACTCACGAACTGATGGGTAATTGTTGTTCACTTTACTGGCTGCATGCGTGAATGATGCCTACAATTGATGTTCACTTTACTGCCTCTATGCCTAAATGATGCCTATAGGTGATGTCTTTTATGCCTAATTCATGTTGTATACATGTTGTGTATGTTACTCAATCCGTCCCTGAATTTACATTCCATTTTGACTGAGCACACTGATTAAGAAAATGTATTGACTGAAAGCCTATTGTTAAGTGTTGCCTAATTGCTTATATGCCTATATGATGTTGACCTAACTGTCCCTTAGCCCAAATGATGCTTGAAATGGGCCTATAACTGATGGGCTAATTAGGGGGCAGTTAAGATGTTGACTCATTCCTTTGGGTAACTGTGATGCTTGAATACTGTGTAATGCTTATAGTGATGACTGAAATCCTATTGTTAAGTGCTGCCTAATTGCTTGTATGCCTATATGATGTTGACCTAACTGTCCCTTAGCCCAAATGATGCCTCAAATGGGCCTATAACTGATGGGCTAATTAGGGGGCAGTTAAGATGTTGACTCATTCCTTTTGGTAACTGTGATGCTTGAATACTGTGTAATGCTTACTGTGATGACTGAAAGCCTAATATTGAGTCCAAATGAAGCTTGAATATGCATTTATAGATAATGACAGTGATGACTGAAAGCCTAATATTGAGTCCAAATGATGCTTGAATATGCATTTATAGATAATGACAGTGTCTTGTTTGTGTACATATATTGTACCCCAAAACCCAAAATAACAAAACCAAAAAAACCACTAGCAAAAAAACCAAGACCTTGTGTATGCCAAAAACCCAAAAACCCAAAATGCAATAGCCAGTATACCTTAGCCCTGTCTTTACCAAAAACCCAAAATGCAGTAGCCAATATACCTTAGCCATGTCTTTACCCAAAAACCCTATATCCAGTAGCTACCTAAGCCTGGGTGTTACCAGTGTCAAATAATTCCAGCACTTCCCTCACTGTTGTAATGTCTGCTGCATTTGATGAGATAGGTACTTCCCTCACTGTTGTAGTGTCTGCATAGAGAGAGATAGGCAGTTTCCCATTGCCATGTACATGATCCTTTCTTATGTGAGGTAATCTGTAGTTGTTGTTACCTTTAGCAGTTAAGATCTTATTCATACACGTCTGCAATGATAGCCAAACCTTGTTCAAAGTATATGGACTCACTTCCTCATAAGCTTTGGTCACCACTGCCACTAACTCTGACATTGTAGTACTTGGTGTTGCTTGTTGTAGGGACTGAATTGATCTAAAAAACCCTAGGTCTAGAACATTTAGATCAGGACTATTGGAAGGTTGAAACGGTAGTTTGATGTTAAACCCTTCACTAGTAGCCTCTTTCATGAACTCACTGTCATTAGACTTTATATGTGGTTTGGCATTGTCTTGTTGGATGTAAATATCCCCAGATGCATGAAGTGGCCACCTGGCTCTAATTGCATGGAGCATTTGTCTGAGTAAGCACTCTATGTATGCAATCTTATTGACTTTAAGAGTTGCTTTTTCTTCTATTGTACCGACGCTTCTGGTTTTGCTATTCCTTTTTGTTGGCTCAAATTTTGTGAATGGGAAAATACCTATTTTCCCATCAAATAAGACCTCTGAGACTTCTGAAAATATTGGCCTTGCCACAGCACACAAAAACATGACTTTTGTAATGAATCTCTTTGACTTACATGTTTTATGTGCCTCTTGTTCATCTGGAGTGAGATAGTACCTCTGTGTGGGTTTAGTAATGTAAAATCACTTCTCATACACATGTACATAGTTGAACATGGGTTCAAACTGTGGTTGAGTTGTGAGTGTGGAATAATGTGTGAAATCACCCATTCAAGCCTCTTTCTCATATTTGACTCAGTCAAATAGGGCTTGATAGAATTTGTGTGTACTTTAATCTTACCTTGTCGTACGAGTCTGTGCACATTTGTTTTGGGACAGCCCATTGCAGATGCCAGACTTCTTATGGTCTGCCTTTTGTGAAGATCAATATCCTTAAATTCAAGTGTATGTAGTGTTAAAGGTGTCCTACCACATTTTGCAACAAACTGTCTGTCAACATTTATAGGTACACCATCCCTTAGTGATTTCTTTACTTGTCCCCAAATACGTGTGATGTACCTTACTGAGACTTTATGTTCTTCAGATAATGCATCTTTCAGTCCGTCGGCCAGCATGCCATCTGAGGAATTGGTGAGAAGAGCCTGCAAGATCCTGTGCTTTGCTTCGTTGCACAACCTTTTTTTTGCTTGTTTCCCCATTTTCAGAAACTTCCATGTTGTATTAGTGATGTTGTACGCAGATCTATTGTAAAATCTGTATGTTTATATAGAGGGTTGACATATTTTAAGTGTTCAAAAATTTTAAAGTGGAGGGAAATCTGAAAAGGCCCGCCAGCAGCCAAATAACCCCAAAAAAGTTTTCAGCCTACTTTTACTGTACATAGCAGACCGCCCCCATCCCTCTTTATTTCCCATTATCTTGTGCGGTAATTAAAAGAGGGGCAACGTAGGAAATTCAATGGCAAACAGTACTTTTTCTTAATCAGTGTGCCAAGTCAAAATGGAACAACATTAAGAGACGGAGGGAGTACATTTTTTGCTACAGTTAAAGCTACAACCCTTAGCAAAAAGTGTTGTAAAAAGTTTAAGGGATCTTGCTAAGTCTTGTAAGGTCATCTCCAACAAGCACCATTTGCCACACCAAAATGGTGTATTTTGCAAAAAAATGCTCCAACAATGGCACCAAACACTACACCATTACACCAAAATGGGGGAGGGAGGATGGCTTCACGCCATATATGGCGTACGCCATATATTACACCATCCCACTTTTTTGCTTTCTTTTCCTTTTAAATGTTACCTTCAAGTTTCAATTATTATAGTTTTGACCCATTTTTAAAATAGCAAATTAGGATGTTTTAGTTGGACTAAAATTAGTTTGTCCGCTCTGGTCTGGTCTGGTCTGATTTGATCTGGTCTGATCTGATTTGATGTGGTCTGATCTGAAATGATGCGGTCTGGTCTAATTTATTTGTATTTTTATAACTACTCAAGTGTGGTCTAATCGGGTCTTATCTGATCCCGAGACAATCTACAGTCCAAGTAAAAACATCCTTATAGAACAATAAATTAATGACATATAAATTATTATAATATTATTGTAATATTTAATTTTATGTGGTTTTAGCTTGTATTTGTGAAATATTGATCATTTGTGGGAACAATTCTCAAATTCCGATAACTAAACTAAGAATGTTTATTTAATCTATAGCTTTAAGTTTAAGTAGTACTTTATTAAATTATTAATGACGTATAAATTATTATAATATTATTGTATTAGTGAGATGCGTGAAAATACATATTAAAATGATGTATTTTAATTTGTATGTGTGAAATAATGTGTGAAATGTCAAAATATTAAATGAGGGTCTAATATATAAATATATGATAGTTAGATACTTAAATAGAAGAATGGAGAAAAATTAGTAAAAAGAATAAAAAGAGAATATTCCTTTTTGGTGATGAAAATAGTGTAAACTGTTGGAGATAAAATACTGTTTGATGTGATGTTTACACCATTTTGGTGTAAAAAATGGTGTTAACTGTTGGAGATGGCCTAAAAAGTGTGGGTTTTTGCTAAGCTACAACCCTTAGCAAAAAGTTTAAATATTACTCCGTATTTATTTTAAGTTTATACTACGTATGTCCTATTCGAGCAAATTTTTATAATGTTACAAATTACTCCGTATTTCGTTATATATGGATCATGTAGATAAAATTGAAAATAATACTCCGTAACTAACAACATTTTTTTCATTATTAAATCAATTAAAAGCTTGAAAAAAGAGAAGAAAAGGAGGAGAGTACAGTAGAGCACACAGGGTTTTCCCTTGGCTAGCGAGTGAACCGGTTCTCTCTTTTATACGGAGCACTATCGTATCTCCGATCCTAATCTGGTTTATGGAGCATAATTTGATTTTGGTTTAATGAAAGCTAGATTCTATGGTACCCATAAAATATTATACCTTTGTCCACATGGATCAATGAGAATGTTACAGTTGAATTATTTAAATCTAAATTAAAAATGGTATAATGATGTGGACCAATCAAGAGAATAGAAGGTACGGTACCCCATTTTTTAAATGGGTACCGGAATTGTCACCTGAAATTATGAAAATCTTAATTGCGAATTTGCTTGAAATTCATAATAATTGCACTGTCCGCAAAATGAGGCCACCTCTGTCGCATGCATAATTACTTATCTCATCCTATTCCTATATTTCATCATCACACTTCCATCACCATTTATGCTTCTTCCTTCCTTACCTCCCTCCCATAAAAGCAAAACAAAACAAATCTTACTTTGCAGAAAATTATCCGTTTCATCATCTGATCTATTGCAGGCATACAATTCAGTCAGGCGATGTCATCTTACAAGAAGAAGATTGTCCTCAGCAGTGTTGCAGTGAAGCTAGGCTGCGGCAGCAGCTGCAGAAGGCCCAAACTCTCTGCCGTCTTCGTCCCCAAACCACGGCGGCGCCACCACAAACCCGCCGCCGCCGCATCCACCTCCACGGCGCCAAACTTCTCCAACTACTCCTCCAGCTCCTGGGACACCACCACCACCACATTCTCTCCGGCGAACTACTCCTCCGACGCCGACTCGGAGATCAAGAGCCTCAGAGCCGTGCACGGCTTCGGAAGGGTCGGCGGGGAGAGCGTCGCCGTCGAGAAAGACTCCGACGACCCTTACCTCGACTTCCGGCAGTCCATGCTGCAGATGATCCTCCAGAAAAACATCTACTCGAAAGATGACCTGAAAGAGCTTCTCAACTGCTTCTTGCAGCTCAATTCCCCTTACTACCACGGCGTCATTGTCAGAGCCTTCACGGAGATCTGGAATGGGGTCTTCTCCGTGACGCCGCCGGTGGCACCGCACGGCGGGGCCGCCCCGGAGTGGATGTCACGTGGCTTTTAAGCAACGCACGTGATATCATATGTGGGCCCACACTGCTTATCAATAAAGTTGTGTCCATCAAACTGTAGCTTGTGAAAGTAGATTCTCGGGGGTAGTATGGTAATTGTCGTTCCCACAAAATATTACGCGTGGGACTCCTCTATAGTGTGCTTGATGAAGCACTAATTAATTAATGCACTGTTAGAGTGTAGGATTTAATGATTCCTAGAAGATCAGATCGATAAGCTTAGTTGTTCTATTTTCACAGCCTTTTTTCCCACCTAATAGGTTTAGAGGATGGAAGTTTTTGTTATTATGTTCGTTGAGTGGTTAAAAATGCTGTGAAAATTGTAACCCGTAAGCGTATTGTTGTGTTATTACTCCCTCCGTTTCTATTTGGTTGACACAATTTGACTTGTCAAGATTTAAGGGAAAGAAGTTATTGAGGGGCAAATTTTATTGTTTGGCACTGTTTGAACACTGTTTGACACTGTTTGAACACTGTGTGGCACTGTTTGAACACTGTTTGGCACTGTTTGGTACTGTTTTGCACTGTTTAGGTAAATATTTGTTTACCAAATAAGGAAATAAAGAAGTGTGGCATTCATTTTGAAACGTCCAAAAAAGGAAAGTGTGTCAACCAAATAGAAACGGAGGGAGTATTATGTAATGTAATGTTACTTTGAATTTCTCTAGGCTCTAGCTCTAAAGATCACTCATTCATTGTATTATATATTAATTGTTTATTTACAATATTTTGGTTGAAGTTCGAAAAATAAATAAATTTTACGGTATTTAAGAGTATTGTAGAATTTACTTTGACGGTATTACTTTTAAAAAAGGTCACGTAATTTTTTTTTAGCAAAACAGTTAAAAGCAACATTGAGGTTTCTTTTAGGGCAAATTGGTCCTTGACACTTTTTGAAATTTAGTAATTTTTATTTTTTGTTTATGGGTTTAAATTAAGGGAAATTTGATTTTACATTCCACTTTTTTTTGGTGATATTGGACTTTGCATTCATTTTAAAAAAAAATGTTTTTGCACGTCACTTAAAATTTCTTTGATTTTGCACCCCATTTATAAATTTTTCTTCACAAAATGTTGTGTGTAAGGATGCAAAATCAAAGTTTTTTTTAAATGGAGTGCAAAGTCCAATATCACAAAAAAGTGGGGTGCAAAGTCAAAGTTTCCCTTAAATTAACAATGACGGAGTATCATTTTTACCAAATACTCCCTCCGTCCCGAAAACAACTTCCCACTTTTCTTAAATGGATGTCCCAAAATTAACTTCACACTTCAATACTTTCCTTATTTGGCAAATTATCTACATCAAAAAAGTGATAAACAGTGCCAAACAGTGTTTAAACAGTGCCAAACAGTGTTTAAACAGTGCAAAACAGTGCATTCTACAGTAAAGTCAAATTTATTTCCTAAAAGTGTGTGAAAGTCCAACCGGGAAGTTGTTTTCGGGACGGAGGGAGTACTACGTAAGTAATTTTCTGTTAAGATCCCACACCGTCAAGTATGGGCTTGGCCGGTGGCTTATAAGCAATGTGTCCCCCCCTCCTAATCGGATGGTCTTTTAGGAGTGAGTTCTACACATGAGCTTATGGCACTGCTACGAGCCTAGTATGGGCTAGGTCCGTAACAATTGGTATCAGAGCCGTCCCCATCTTTCTAGTCCCGACACTCGGAGTGGTGGCCTATAGAGTGGTGGCTTGAGCCTTGGGGGGTGCCAACCGTGATCAACATAGCCGTGACAAACGAGGATGTTGGCTCTTTGAAGCATGAGGTATTGTTAAGATCCCACACCGGTCAAGTATGGGCTTGGCCGGTGGGTTATAAGCAATGTGTTCCATCTCCTAATCGGCTGGTCTTTTAGGAGTGAGTTTTACACGTTGGCTTATGTCATTGCTACGGGCCTGGTATGAGCTAGGTCCGTAACATTTTTCTTGGGGTTTTGACTTTGAGTATTACTAAAAAGTAGATAATGGATAAAAAGGTGATTTTAGTGTCACTAATTAGCATTAAACGTACTAAATTATTCTTAATTTGACCTTTTCTAATAGTGACATGATATGCCACAATGACCACTGACATAGTGACCTCCTCCATAGTTACAGTTGTCGACCAGTGATCGGTAGGCTCGGTAGCCACAATGGCACAGCGAATTCGGCCACAGTGACACAATGACTCAGACCACAATCATCCTGCCACAATGAGTCCACCACCGCAAGTCACAACCACCACCCACCAACCCTCAGCCCTCCGGCCATCAATGTCGCTCTGATGACCCATCACGGTCATTGACCCTGTTGCTGCTAGGGCACCACCCTTCTTGCCAAAGCGCCCTACCTCACCGGCCAAGTCTCTCCTTTTCTTCTCCCGCCCCCCATTCCCCACAGCTATAAGTCACAAATCCGCAGTCAAACACTAGACTCATATGCTAACCTAGATGTCGTCATCGTTGAACCCTAACAACGTCATTTAATAACCTAGCTAGAATCCACCATCAAGCGAAACCGTGATTCATAGTCACCGCAATCGATTCTTCGAGAACCGTCTCTTTCACCAAATCGACAATTTCACAATTTTTACATTTGATGAGTTGTCTCTATCACGTACTATATTTGAAGAAATGGGATAGAAGACGATGAAGGTCGGACAGAAGATAGATTGAACATACCTGACAGTAACTTGTAACTAATATTTTAGTCATTCTTTCGTTGGCCAAAAGGAAAGCTTGAAGGGGAAGTTGGGAAATCCAACATTTTTATGCTTCTAGTGTCTTACGAAAATACTTCTTACACAGACTACCGAAACTTAAAGTAACTCCAACATCTTAGTAGTTTCATACATCTGATCCCTTAAATAGTGCGATTAACATAACTGTCAACAAGTAAGATAATTTTAGCAAATCTTTAAGCTTCGAATGCCAAATTGTAACCTTTTTATTATTATATTAAATTCATACTCAATTCAAGATTTCTTTTTTACTTATTTCTCTATTTAATTAGTCATGTCTAGATTTTTTTTTTTTTAAAAGTCATGTCTAGATTAAGATCTTTGTTTATAGTAAGTGATTTTTCTATATGAAACTGTTTAATTATGTACAAAAGAAACATGAGAGGGAATTGACTTAATACAAACATTATAATAATGACTCAAAAAAATGTTTGTAAAGACACTTTTATAGGGGTTTTAATGATAAGGAATTGGCTTAATAATTAAGTCTCCATTTTTGGGAAAATGATTAAATAATACTCCGTATTTCAATTAAGTAATGCGGAGTAAGTGGATATGATATAATGACTCAGTGATACAGACGCTCTAGGTCATGATCGTGTATTCAAGTCTCAAGTCGACTTGCGAGTATGGGACGTAGTGTTTAAAACTAGGAAAAAGGGTCAAATACACCCCTTAACAATACAAGAACCATCATCTAGACCCCTTTACTAAAAAAAGCATCAAATACATACATATACTTTGAAAAAACAATCATATCAACCAATTTACCCGATGGTAACCCTTTTTAGCCGGTCAAGGCTCATTTTTAAGGGTCCTCCATTTTTAATACTCCGTATTTGTCTTTTAGCTTTTTTTTTTACTTTGTCTTCATCACCATGCTCGTCCCCCCTCCTTCAACGTGACCTCTTCTTTTTCTTTTCTTTTGTTCTTTTCTTTTTCACCCACTTCCTCCATCATTTTTCTACTACATCCATGTTTATAGAGTAATAACAATCGTTGTTTATAGGAGTTTTTCTGTACACTTGACATCTAAAAATTAACAATTCATAATTAAACCCTAATTCTAAAATTCAAGAGGTATATAGACAGAGGGAGAGAGACATCAACACGTTCTGTTCCAATCAAACCTTCTCAGTCCAAAATTAAACTAGATCGGTATTACTCCATGTACAGACATGTGGAGAAATTAGCAAAAAAAAGAGATAAAGAAAGGTGTTGAATCCAAGCTCTGACAACCCAATTGACGGGCATGACATGTACAGCTTGTTCATCATAGAATGATGTTTGAGATCGAGAGTGTGCCGCTAGAGGTGGAAATCCTTATTGGGCCGGAACTTAGGTTGGGGATGGCTCGACGCTGCCATTTGATCTTGAAACACAATAGGCTTTTCACATAGCCGGAGAAATTACATTGCAACCATCACCAAAAAACTCAGGAGTGCTTCTCCTTAAGTTACTTTCCATAAATTTTAGAAAAGAGAGAAACAAAAAAGAAAAGAAAAATGAAGGAAACTAGAATACGATAAGAAAAAATGAGATAATAATGAAGGGGAAGAGGGGGGAGCTGGACGAACATGCCAGGAAGAGAGAGAAAGGAAAATGAGATAAACATGAAAAGAAAAAAGATAAACAGTTAAGTAACCGGCTAAAGTGGGTCAACTTCTGGTAAAATGGCATATCTGATCGTTTTTTACAAGTTAATGGTTTTATGTGATCCTTTTTTTAGTACATGGGTTTAGATGATGTTTTTGCAATTGTACAAGGGTCTATTTGACCCTTTTTCCTTAAAACTATTTTATATTTATATGTCTAAAACTCTTTTGTTATGTTACTTAACATGAAAAAACTCACAACTAATCTATTTTATCACAGTTAAATCGCGATTAATTGATGTGAATATAGAATCACTTCAAATAAGACTAAAACTATGTCAAAAACTCAAAATAGGACTTGTTATGTTTTTATTCCAAAATAGGACCATAGTGGTCCTATTGGAAACATACTCATTTCTTCCTTCCATTCTTACCCTCCTTTAAATATTAGTAAAAGATAGCTAAAAGTCATAATTAAATGTTTAATTCATAATAAATCCGAAAAAATTTCAATAATTCGTAGAAAAATAATAAAAAAAAATTATAAAATAAAAAATAAGAATTTTTTTTTATTTTTTTTTTTAAATTAAAAAAAATTAGTAAAACTCCATTAAAAAATTAAAAAAATATGGATCCCTTTCTCACTGCCTGTACTACCTCCCTGAACCACCACCTCTGATCGGTGTAAAAAATGCCACTTTTTTTTAAATTCCACAAAAATGGCATATTTCTCTATGAGAATGCCAACATTTTCATTCTGCCAACTTGAATCCTTTTGAATTTTGCCAAAAATATGGAATTCATAATTTTTTTGGCATTTTTTACCCCGGTGACAGGAGGTGGTGGTACCGCCTCCCTGCACCACCACCTCCGACCGTAAAAAAAATGTCATATTTCCTACAAACTTCTATTTTTTTCGGAAAATGCCAAAAATATGGCATATTTCTCTTTGACAATGCCATATTTTTTTTCTGCCATCTTAAATCATTCTGAATTATGCCAAAAATATGGAATTCATAATAAATTTGGCATTTTTTCCCCAAATGACTGGAGGTGGTGGTGCTGGGGCAGCAGAGGCGGCGGTGACAATTTTTTTTTTTTTGATATTTTTTTTGATTTTTTTTTATTTTTTTTATTTTTTTTATTTTTTTTAATTTATTATTATTCAAAATTTTTTTATTAATTTTTTGGTATATTTTACGAATTTTTATTATTTTTTATTATTTTATTATGAATTAAAACATTCCAATAGTTATAAGGGTATATTTGTCCAAGACACACATAATTAATCTTATGGAAACATAGTTTATTTTTAGGTCCTATTTGTGCAAAGTGAATGACTTTTAGTCCTATTTTGATAATTAATTCATGTGAATATGATATGAGTTATCTTTATTTTCATATTTTATTTATTTATTAGAGATCACGGAGTATATCTTTAATCTGGTA